GTGAAATACAGGAGCTCTCTGTCTGATATTCAGGCAAGACGCTCATCTTTAGAAGAGAGCACTGACTTTTTTGTTGGGTTGGACAGCAACACTGAGATGTAAACAACAGTCCCATTACACTTACCCCAAGTTGAATTAATGGTCTCCCAGCCCAAGCTAAGTTCTGGCACGGTCCCCAGCTGCTAACAACTTAGTGGCCATTGCCTGATGAGCCCAGGCCCACCCTATCTAGTGTAGTAGTCATATGTGCTATTAAGCCATTGGGATACCCTCGTCTAAGCAGAGATGTGCTGTGAGTGTTTGGAAACAAGGTGTGAGAAGACAAATTGAAAAAAAATCACATGAATAATTTATAGAGCGTTTACATGTTGAAATGATAATATTTTGGACATATTGGGTTAAATAAAGTATGCTATTAATATTAATTTCAGCTTTTTTTTTTTTTTTGCTTTTTAATGTGGCTACTGAAAAATTCAATGTACTTGGGTCAGTTTTCTGAGGCTGGGGTTCTGTGTGGTCAGGCTGCAGTGTCACTGGACTCTGGGGTGAAGGAGGTCACGTCACGCAGTTGGTGTCAGAGTGCTTGCTTCCTACATGGAAACACTGCTTTAATTAGAAAAAGCTGCTTCTTCAGGTCAAACCAAGAAGGAGAGGACGCTCCTTCTTCAGGAAAGACCCGGCCCCCCAGCCAGGGCGCAGGGCTTGGGACAGGACATGGAGCGCGGTGTGTCTCCTCTAGTGCCACTCTGCACATCTGCAGCCCAGGTTCCTGCTCCTCTCCTCTCTGCCGTGCAGCTGGAACCCACGTCGCTTGCTTTGAGAGCCAGGGAGCTGCAGCTAAACAAGGTGACCTCATGGTTACAATTGTCATCACTGGTGACAACCATGCTTAATCCAGTCTTTCTCTGACCACCAATTACCACACACCCGATCCTGGGAAGTTACAAAAAGTCCTGTGTCTCCAGTCGTAAGATAGCAAGGATGACAACAGGTTGTGGGTTTGGCTGCAGGGTTAATTAATCGTCCTTGTGTCCAGTTCCAGACATGTACTAATCACCCATAAGTGCTGTCACAGTTATGAGCTGAGAGGGGAGGGTGTGGGTGGGCATGTTGAGAGGGCATGAGATGTCCACGACATGCTCAAAAAGAAAGTTCATTCATACTGACCATCTGTCCATCTCATCTCCCTCCGAGATGATCCCCTGAAACGCAGGCCATGTGTTCTGCTGTGTTTAGGTATTATTTTATTGATTCGCATCCAAGACAGACACTACCAACCCATTCCACAGAGATGGAGACTAAGTGAGGGACAGTGTTCCTTCTCCAAGTCAGAACAGGAAGAGTCACGTGAGCCGACCTCATTCCCGAGGGGTGGAGAGCTCCTGGGTCCTTAGGGTAACCTGAGAACGAACTGATGGGGTCTGCAAGTTGGGTCCAGTGAGGCCCAGGTGGGGGGTACTTTAGTGTTCCAAGAGGGCTACAAGTAGATGGCTGTGACTTGTTGGTTTATTTATGGGGATGGTTGTAAGTTTGATGAGGCACTTAATTGAAATGACAATGTCAAAGATGCTAATGAAATGAGTTTGGTGACCAGAATGTTGGTGTGACTCTTAGTTATTAAGCCCTTCTGAGATCCCAGACACTGTTTTCAGTATTTGACACAGATCACATCACGAATGCTCACACTAGCCCCAGGAAGAGTTCCTATTGCACTTTCCACTTGGTTCGTTTGTGTGTTTCTTCATTTGTTTGTTTTGAGACAGGGTCTCCTTGTATAGCCCAGGCTGGCCTTGAACTTGAGATCCTCCAGCCTCAGCCTTGAAAGCTGGGATTTCAGGTATATACTACTTGGCTCCCAGTTTACAGCAGAGAAAGCTGAGCTGGTTGGACTAAGTCACTCGCATTAGCAACACATCTCACGTATGCCACAGTGCCCATGCTGCCCGGCCAGCCCCGCCAACTGAGCATCTCAGATCTGTAACGCCCAGCTGGGTGATGCTGCAGGGAGAATGGCTTCAACTTTGTGAGCCTTAGTTTCTTCTGTGTAAAACAGAGTGACCTATGATCCATTTCACACAGTCAAGGGCTGTGTAAGCAGGTTTAGCAGGAGAAGCAAATAACTTAGAGTTTGGTGCTCATTGTGACCTGTCACCACTGCCTTTGGATGTGAATGGATGGCTCTATGGTTACCACCCAGATGGAAAACACTGGCCAGGACATGGCTTCTGGCAAGTCGAGGTCATGTTCAGTAGTGGTTTCCTAGAGCCTATGGCTGGGCCAGTACCAGCCCCTAAGTCTGCTGGGCATGCATTTGGGATCCTTCCTTGTTCCTGTTTTGAAGACCTCCAAATATGAACCCAAATTGGTATACACCTCATGATGCAGTCACTCACATACTTCCGTGTTTCCATTTGTGTTTAAAACCCAGAGCAGAGCTTGTATTATTTCTTGTTCTCGCACTGCTTCAAAGTCTTTCCTTTCTGTTTTTTGTTGTTGTTGTTGAGGTCCCCCCATTTCTCTATCTACTCAGGAAGTTCTTCCATACTCCATCTCTTGGAACAAATCCTCTATCAGCATCTTGGGGGCCCAACCTTGGACTGCCAGATGCCTAATCAGCCAGCCAGGTATGCAGGGGGATCTACCATGCACCTGTTAAAACATTGAAACCCAGAGTGCCAAAATGATGTACTGTGGACAACAACCAATGGCTTGACTAGCATAGGTCAGCTAAAGGTGCCCTACATGGCATAAACTGGTCAGAGAATGTTCCTGCCGGGGACAGCAACTCAGCATAAAATAGGATTCACCCAGAGCAATACAAATGAGTCTTCCTCAGTGCAGCCTGAAGAAGAGGCAGGGTTAAGGGAAGAGACAAAGCATGTCAAGATGCTGGTGAAACTGAAGGGTGCTGGGACACTGGGAAAGTCTGGTGTGTCCCCAGAGTCCAGTGGTAGTGTGAGCCTGGGAAGAGGGGCTGGTGGGAGAGAGGTTGGACTTGGAGGGAAGCAGCCCCTGCTAGCGTCTCAGCACAGGACTAAGGAGGGAATTGGAAGGGTCTGGTGTTTCTGCTCCCACATGCTGGGCTGATCTTCTATCTGACTCTGAGCCAGTAGACTAGGGTGTCAGTGCTGCTTCCCCCAGTCAGAGAAAGGAAGACAAGGGTCCAGGGTGGGCATCCTTGGGTTGCCTACTTAAGATCAATGGTCCCTTTTCTTGTAGGAGCACCTGGATTTCCCTCAGGGAACGCTCCCTCCCTAGAATATGCAACATGAATTAGACCAATCAGAGCCAAGGAGGTTTGTTCTGGGGGCTTTTGTTAGTTCTGTTGAGAGATAGGAATGCTCTTTCCACTTGGAATACTGAGGCAATAGAACCTTTCTGTCCTACTGTTGGAAGTTACCTATTTTTCATTTAAACAATCATACAGAAGTATAATTTATAAATAATATAATTTATAAATTTATACTCCCTTTTAAGTATACCAATTTAATGGTTTCCAGTGACTTTGCTGAGTTGGTCACCCTTCACCATGAGTCCAGTTTTGAGAGATCTACACCTCAGTCAAATCCCTCATGCCAAGTAAGAGTCAGTCTTCAATCCCACTGCAGCCCATCTGCTTTGTCCCCGTGGACTGTGGGTAGCCATCTTGTCACCATGAGAGGAGGACCTGAGACTGGAGGAAGTGAGGCTAAGGGATGCAGAGAACAACTCTTGTGGTATTGTTTGAACCCCTGGAGTTATCCAGTACTGAACCTGTGCTGGCTCCTGGAATTTCCATTTACAAGTGCTAACCTGAGACCTTCCCTTTGAAATTGTGTGTGTGCACACATGCACACTTGAGAATCTCCACTTACTTTCAGTGAGGTTTTCTGTCTCATGTAACTGGACGTATCTTACATATTCACATCACAATTTATATCCCAGTTGTGTGTGGGGGAGGTGTGAGCTGTGTCATGTAACTGGACATATCACAATTTACAAATCCACATCTCAAATTATACTCCGGTAGGAGAGGGAGGGAGGAGGGAGAGAAAAAGAGAAAGAATACGAGAGAGCAAGATGAAATAAACCTGAGATTGAGAACACAAGGAACACAGGCAGGTTTGCTGATGACACTAGCTGGATATAACACCTGACAGTGACTATCTCTCACAACATTGGTGACATCTTCCCCATACTATTTGAGTGCCTTGTTGTTAATTTCTCATATCTTGTTCTGAGTTGAGTGATCAAGGACAGCTACCAGGCTTTGGAGCACTGGAAGTCAGAGGGAAATACGCCTAGTTTCTAGAATCATGGCATTTGTGAGGGTCAAGCAACTGGGGGCTGGGACTCCCTCGTGAGCCTCTCCCTAGAGCAATTCATTCTCAGTAGTTTTACAGGAACCAACAAAGCATCACCTAGGAGCACCAGGGGTGGACTTCGTGCGAGGACCGGGCACTTTGTGCATGGGCTGTGTGTTCAGCTCTCAGATGCAGCCCATCACTCAGGGATGCTTCCTGTGTACGTAATACACGTCTGACAACCACAGCTCAGCATGGTCTCTCCTATCAAGGACTCCCAGGGAAAGGCACAGGTTGGTGCAGAATGCCTGACAATGTCCTCCAATGCTCAGGGTCTGTCTTCTGGCTTGACGATCCTTATCTCCTTGGCTTCTTTTCATAAGATCAAAAATTTATTTTGGCCTCTTCATCACCATGTAGTTGGTCAAGAATGGAAGAAGCAGTGTGGCTGGTCCTTTGTCCTTTCCTGTGAAGAAAGGAAAAGCCCTTCCCCAAAGAAGCTGTCCCCTTCAGTACAGCTGGCCAGAACTGGATCACCTCCAGCTTCCAGGTATACTGGGAAATGTACACCCTGTGTAAAGGACAGGGACTCGTGATTGACAGGTCAATTGTTATCACCTGCTGAACTCGACAAAATCAGGTACGCTCGGTGAGGGAGAAGAAGGGATGAATACAGGTAGAACGGTAGTGACATATGCCAGCGGGAAAGTGACAACTATGACCCGGTCCGAGGTAGATGCTCCCTGTCCGTGCCTCGACACAGGCTGGGACCAGTTCCAAGGTAGGTGCTCTCCCCCTGCCCAATCTGTGCGTAGGCTAGAAGGGTGCACAGTCAGCCTTAAATCCTGGAAAGGGTGCTCTTGCCCCACGGGGGGATCGGAGTAGATCTGAGTTTGGTGATTGCTGAGCAACACCTTAAAGAATAAGCAGTGATTCACTCTGGGTGCAAGGAGAAGGTAGAAAGGGCTTCTGAGGTAGGGGCCTGAGCTAAGACCAGGTATACACCTGCTCAGAGTTCTGCAGGAGGTACAGGTGGTTCCACGTCTCCATATCCTAATTGCACCGTCAGGAGGCGAGATGAGGAAGGCACAGCGGGAGGAGGTCATGAATGGCCTCGTGTGCAAAGCTCCTAGCTAGGACTCTTCCCAGAGTAGCAGTCCGCCATGTTTTAATAATGCAAGTGATTGGAGTTATAAAAAAGTGCATATGGAGCCTGGCGTCTGAATCCCTAGCTTGAAACTAATTACATGTGCAAAGTCCCTATTTCCAGATAAGGTCAGTTCACAGGTACCAGGAGCTAGGACTTGGGCATATCATCTTGGAGGACACAATTCGACTCAGTGCACCCAAAGGAGGTGAGGGAAAGGTGGTTTGGAAAAGGGTTGGATGCATGGGTGAGGGACTTGGAGACAGGAACAAATAGTATTGGGGGTATATGGTGGGTGGACAGGGACAGCCACTGGGCAGACAGGGCAACAAGGGGTGGTCAGACTTAAGAATAAGTTTGGAGAGCCAGGCAAAGCCAGATTGCTGGGTCTCAGAGGTGGTAAGAGGCATTTTGGGTTTTGTTCTGAACCTCACAGGGAGCTTCAGAGCTCTGTGCACGGTTTGCAGTGGTTTGTTCTGTTCCTGATTTTTTGCTTTGGAGAAGGCGGGTGAAGATAGTGATGTCTGCAGCTGTCAGTCTTCGGGAAGCTGTAATCACTAAGTATGCTTGACATCAGTAAAGGGTTTTTAGAAGGAAGAGAACCAAAGGAATCCTGTGGGAGTCTGCCCTCATGTTTCCTGGGCTTAAAGTAACTGCTGATAGAAGGGATATTGTCCCAGGAATCTGAAACTTTTCTACCCAATAAAATGTCTTTTGATAAGATATAAGTTTTGATAAGATAGAGCCTTCAGAATCTTTTCTTATAAAGTGCCAACTTTAAAGATCTAGAGAATCACGTGATGCTTAAGAAGAGACAGACTTAGAGACTACAGGGCCTGACAAACTGACATGCTGGAAACTCCTTGGGTTCCAGGGTTCTTAAGGCTTGGGTGACCGTGTGTGACTCAGCTGACAAAAGGAATGAAGATGTGAAATTCCACAGAGCCTCCTGGAATTTTAAAAGCCCAAACCCTCTTTGACCAGAATAGGCTTTCAAAACTAAAGGTTAGGATGGATGAATGGCTATTCTGCAAATGAAAACCATAACTTACAAAGGGTATGAAGCAGGTTGAGCACATTGGTGCATGCCTGTAATCCCAGCTATTCGGGAGGCAGAGACAACCCAGGTGAAGTCAGCTTGAGACCCTATCTGAAAAACAAACTTAGAAAAACAAAAGAGGACTGGAAGCCTGGCTCAGGTGGCAGTGCACTTGCTTAGCAAGCTTGAGGACCTGAGTTCAATCCCCAATAGGTGTGAAGCTCATTTTGTGTTTACAACATAAAACTTAAGAAACAGGGAGCCCCATTTCTCCTGCACTTGTGACCTCTGCCCTGCAGTGAACACAGGATACAGAAAACCTCTTTCCATCCCACTGTGTCCCTTTGTGACACAACGACATAGGGTGCTGTTCTGGCCTGGCCCCGAGGCCTTCAGTGAGAACTGGTATTTATCTGCGGGAACATCTAGCACCCAATGCTAGACCCACACAGCTGAGAGAAACTTCTGTCGCTCCCCACCATGCTGCTTTCCTGAGAACTGTGTCCCAGGGATAAGCTGAGTGTATATTTTTGCTTACGGCAGAGCCAGCCTACCACATGAGCCGTGAGTCCATCACAAGGTCAGCTGATGTCCTTCCAATCACAAGTAACAACCAGTAGAGGAAGGTGAGGTCTATTTAGGGGATGGTTAAAAAAAAAAAAAGAAGCTGGCAGAGTGCCTCAAGTGGCAGAGTGCCTGCCTAGCAAGCATGAGGCCATAAGTTCAAGTCCCAGTAGTGACAAAAAATTTAAATATAAAAAAAAAAAAAGAAAAAAAGGTTGGAATACATGAGTTGAGATGGAACAGGGTATGGCAGAGTAGAAAGGAAACCAGTGCTGGTCAGTGGAGGTGTTCATTTTGGTTAGAGGAATTTAAACTTGGGGACATATTTGTGTGTCCTAGTCAGGATGAAATGTTTCAAACTGGGGAACACTCAGTGGGTCATCCCTCCGGCTGGTCACTTCCCACCACGTCAGTGTTCCCTGTTGAGATAAAAAAGAACGGGCCAGGCCCAGGTGCTGTAGGTTCCTGACAGGCAGCTCACAGACCTGGATTTTGCTTTAGTGCTTCTTTGGTTCAGCTGTTCTCTAACCCACAGTGTAGACCCCTTGTGTGGGGAAGGCAGCTGGAGTTGTGAGGGTGACTCTGAGTTCTGAGGTCTTCAGCTTTGTGTCTCAGATTACGGACTCCCCCCATCATGTCCGTGATCAGGTCATTTGTGCTGACATGGAATCCAGAATTGAGCTGGATAGGCAAGGATGCCGGGAGCAGGAACTAGAAATCTGAGCTTCTAAACCAGAATTTTAGGCTTTGCTACCGTGCCCATTTTCAAAGATCACTTAGAGGCATGAAAAGAGAACAGACTAAAAAAAAAAAAAAAAGAGAGCAGTAAGTACCCATATTCATTTACACCTCCACTTCCCAGCAAGGAGATCAAAACACACTAGAATGAAAATATTTCATGTGTCACTCATGCATTGTGACAGGACAGCACAGTTTTGAAGATGGCTTCATCAAAGTGCTAATTGTCACTATTAAGGTGTCTCTTTGTCAGAGAGTGGAACAAGTTGTCATAGTAATTCCTGTCTCTGCACATGGTCAGAAGGCCGATTCACAATCCATCAGCACAAAGGTGACTGAGTGGCCTGTACAATGGACATTGGGAGAGCTGCAAGATGCCTCGATGGCTGGGCTGGGTTCTTGCTGATCAGGAAAGATGGGAGCTGAAGAGCCGGTTGTGGGGAAGAAAGACAACAGATGAGTTAAGTTTACACAGATCAGCAGTGCAGCTGCCTCCTGGGCTCCCTGTCCTGCACTTTTGCTTGGGGAAATCGACCCACAGTTTGGAGGGTCACAGCTGCTCTCCTGAGCTGAGCTGTCTACTCTTCATTAGGTTCCTAAGGTTGTTAAAACAAATGGTTGTCACCTGTCTTTATTCTCCTTCGGCTCTGGGGACAGAAGTCAAAGCCACAGCCATTTGTAGGCTCCAGTAGAGAACGTCTTGGGCTTTCCTGGCTTTGGGCAGTTCTGGTGCTCCGTGGCTATGGTTGCATCAATCCACTTACCTCCATCGTCACGTCCTTCCCCTTCCTCTGTGACTTCTCTTAACTCTGTCTCTCAATAGGACACTTACCTTGGGTTAAGGGCCCACCCTACATCCAGGATGACCTGATTTCAGTCTCTGTCATTTCAGGTGCAAAGACCCATTTTGCCGGGAAGTAGGTCATTCCTGCAGGTTCGGGAGCAGACAAGTGGAGCTATTTTGGGTGCCACCTTTATACCCATTGTCCAACTCAAGAGAGGAAATGAACTCCAATCATTGAGAACTGCTCAGTGCTTGTGTGCCAAGGCTGCCCTGTGCTGGGGCTGGGGGTGACTGTGAGGGGAGGGGGAAGAGAAAGCACTGGCCAGTCAAGTGGTTATGGCAGTTCCGGTGAGCCAAGACCTCATACACCCCGTGCCTCAGTTTCCTTATCTGTAACATCTTCCCTGAAACCTTTTGTGCAAATGTTGCATTCTCCATAAGTTACATGAAACCTCTGATTGTCCTTATTTTACTCCACAACACCTATCAAACTCTGGATTATTGGCCAGGTGGAGGGTACACACCTGTAATCCCAGCTACTCAGGAGACAGAGGCAGGAGAACTGTGGTGTGAGGCCAGTCTGGGAAAATTTATCAAGACTCTATCTCCAAAATGCAAACAGAAGGGTGGGGGTGTGGCTCAAGTGGACCTGGTTCAATCCCCAGAACTGCAATTTAAAAAATATATATATATATGGCATTGCATACAATATTTACTTGTCTATTCTCACCTTCTTCCAACATGAGGAAAGCTCCAGAAGGGGTTTCTGCATGTTTTGTGCACTGCCTCGTCCCTGTGCCTCAGACAGACACAAGGAGGTTCTTAGGAACCCTGTGCAGAAGGCTCGAGAACACGGCAGGTGCCTCGGGATACATGGCCAGCTGCTTGTGAGAAATAACTAGGGAATCTATGCAAGTGTCTTAGCAGATCCTGTGCAATTCTATGCTCTCTTCTCTGTTTTCCTGAATCACTTCTTCTAGATCTGATCTGTCGTGCCTGGGCATCATTCAGTCAGAAGCAGACTGTGCTCCAGGGTCTTTAATAATAGCTTAGCACTTCATCTTTTCCCAAGCAGAGGTAGCTTTTGTGGTATTTCCATGTATATATGTATTATAACCCCAATTAGTTTATCTTCCTCTAATTTCCTTCATTCTACCTTAGTCCCTTTCTTATGGTGGCTTCAGCCAGCTTAAGGTTTCTGTATTCATTCTTTAGTGGTAGGTGGATTTGCAAATGTCCAAGTCTCCAAATGATACAGATGGATTGTCTGTCCGCTACTTGTTTTGTGCACCTCTCTAAGACACAGAAAGTTGATGTGACAGGGGAAGGGGCTGCAGGTGTGGGGCAAAGAGCTCTTGAGAATCTGAGTCCTCAAAGGAGTCACCTGTTAGATGCAGGCACTCTTTTGAAAGGGCTTAAAATAACAAAGGAACCCACAGAAATCTTGTGGGTGTGGAAGAGCAGTCTGTTCTTTCTCAGTCCTACCTGAAAAGTGGCTCTAGAGTTCTC